GCACCCAAACATCTCTGCAGTTGTGACCTCTCGGTTGTACTGATCTCAAGCTTGTATAGTCAAGCCCAGCCCACTAAGTTCAGTAGGTCCATCCCACCCCCACATGCTCTATTAGCTGTTATTGCCATCCTAGTTAGAATGATACCCAACAGAGGTGGTAGTCAGAAGGGGGTCAAAGGAGGTAGTCAAAGGGGGTAGTCAGAAGCCTAGAATAAGGATATTTGTGATGGACCATCTGTATGATACATCCCCTAAACAAAGACCCCTTCCTCCTTCTACATTCCACACATTCAAAAGTTGGGCCTCTCTTTCTTAGCCAGGTGACTTCTTAAACATCATGGTGACCCTATACTGAAGCCTGGAAAATGAGCAAGAGTTTAAGCAGGAAGTTTCTTGTCTGAGGGACAGACAAGTTGGGCTATGAACCTTTACCCACTTGAGTTTGGTTTTCTATTAAGCATAAATTACAGTGGTGAAGGAGAGGGACCACTAATATGAGAGGAATCTGGAAACCTTTTTTTCTTCCTAGCCCTAGCACTGCCATTTATAAATATGACCTTGAACAAATTGCTCCCTCACTGAACTTCAGTTTTCCATCTGTAAAATGGACTCTGAGTTTTAACCCTATTCTAAAAGTATAAAGAATTAGTCCTAAGCCAATCAAGCTTTGGGGGGAAATGTCCAGCTGGGGTGCTGGTGGCTCACACCTATAATTCTAGCTACTCAGAAATCTAAAATCTGGGGGCTGGGAAGGTGGCTCAGTGGTAGAGCACTTGCCTTGCATGCCTGAGGCCCTAGGTTCGATTCCTCAGCACCACATCAGCAAAAAGCTGGAAGTGGCGCTGTGGCTCAAGTGGTAGAGTGCTAGCCTTGAGCTGAAGAGCTGAGGGACAGTGCCCAGGCCCAGAGTTCAGGCCCCACGACCGGACCCAAAAAAAAAAATTTTTTTTTAAATTAAAAAAAATTAAAAAAAAAAAAGAAATCTAAAATCTGACAATCCAGGTTCAATACCAGCCTGAAGAAGGAAAGCCTGTGAAACTCTTATTTCCAAATAACCACCAAAAAGCTGTAAATGGGGGGTGTGGTTCAAGTGGTAGAGTGCTAGCCTTGAGCTAAGAAGTTCAGCCTTGAGTTCAAGAACTAGTACTGTGTGTGTGTGTATGTGCATGTGGATGCATGCATGTAACACAAACACAATCCATGTCCATCTGTTTGAAATATGTTACCTTCAGAACTCTTTGCTTAACCCTGTTTGAATGTATGGGCAATATCCCAAAGGTTTAAGCCATATTCTAATGCCCTCCTCTACCAAACTTTGAGAGCAGGAAAGCTTTCAAGAGTCTCCTGAAAAAAGCTAGAGTCAACTGGGGTAAGATAGACACCGGGAAAGAAAACCTTGAAGACTGTCTTAAGGACAATAGCCACCAGCTGAGCCCCAGACCCAGTACCACTCTTTCCACAATGCCAATTCCTGTGTTGTATAAGATCTCTCTGCTCCGTATCTCTGCCCCAGTTCTTCCCCAGATCCCACCTTTCCTGAACCTCTCTGTATCCCACACCTCCCACAGCCTGGAACCCCATCCTTATCTCAGTCTTTACTACTTCTGCACTCACCAGCCCCGGGGCCAAGGACAGAGAACAGCAACAGCAGCAAGAGGACTGATGGCAGCTGGAGCCCAGACCTGAGTCGAGGCTGGGAGAGGGGTAGAGTATGAGAGAGGCGGGGGGCCAGTGGGAAAGACTTGGGTAAACACAGAGATGAGGGCAAAGGTTGAGCCGATGAGTAGGGTTGGCCTGAGTACTCAGGCTTAAACAAGGGCAGGGAGTGTGATGGAGGCAGGGGCTGGGACAACGACTCAAGTAAGGGCCGGCACTGGGGCAGGGGCTTAGGCAACCGCTGAGAATGGGGTGGGGACCGAGAGTGGACTGGGATTTGCGACAGGGAGTGGAACGAGGGCCGAGGCGAGGCTAAGGGCCAAGTCTGGGGCAGGGACAGGGACCTGAGGGGGGGGCTGGATTGGGCCCTGGATGTTGGCATTCCCTGGGGCCCAGGCTGGGGCTGAGGCCAATTTAGGAAGAGGGACGAGGGCGGGGCCGGAGGCCAACGCTGGGAAAGGGATAGGACGAGGGGCCGGGACAAGGGCTGGGCCATGGCCCGGGGCGGGGGCGGGGCCGGACAGGCCAGCGAGGGGCGCTCGCTGAGCTGACTCGCGGCTCCGCTCCCCACCCCTCCCCGGGGGATGGCCTCCGGTGTCCTCGAGGGCCTCGGGCCGGGGGCCGGGACCTGGGGAGGAGTTCAGGCCTGGTCGACTCCGGGCTGCGCTGAACCGGCGACAACCAGGCCCCGCGGCGGCGGCGGCCTCGGCCTGACGTCCTATGGCGTCCCGCCTCCTGCTCAATACAATTGGGCTCTCTCGGCAAAGCCCGCCCCCTGCTCTATTCTATTGGTCCTAACTTAGTTCTGCTGGGCTTCGAGGATAGACTCCGCCCCAGTCCCAGCTGAGACCCTGTCCTCCGGACCGCAGAGTCCCGAACACCACCGTGGTCCTCACAGCCCCCACTGTGTGCCCCCATATATCTTATAGGAACCCTACAGAGATCTTCACAGAACCAGACTCCCCAGGGACGTACCCACAGTATCCACGAATCCCACCCAGAGACTCGCTCGACACCCGACCGGCTCCATGGAGCAGCCCCCTCCGGAAAACTCACTCACTTGCGAGGTGACCCGAGTGCTGTTACCATGGAGACTTCTAGCGTTCGCGTTGCCCTGGTATGAGTTCCTGGCTTGAGTTCTAGAAGCTTCAGTAAACCCCTTCCTCCATCATCCCCAGACCCCTCTTGACCTTCTCCCTTACAGCTCTCCTTCCCTGTCCCTTACCTTCCACCCCCTCCCCACTTCCCGCCCCCAGTCAGGCCAGATTTCCTTGGCCCAAGCCTAGGGATATCCAAGTCTTCACAAATACTTCCAAGCAAGGCCCATCACTTCAGGGTTTGCAGTGGAGCTCATCCACATCAAGAGCATTTCCTCCCTTGGGACCAATATTTTCCTCCCCTCCAACCTATGGCAAGATCTTGACCTGACCCAAGGACTTTTTAACAACCAAGCCAAGACCTGAGGTATGGAAGTTTCCAGTGACTCTCCTTCTCCAAGCCATCAACTCACTCTTCTTCCTAACACTTTCTGACCCTCCCCCATTCTCTACTTTCCATCCTTATCCTCATCCTCACCTAATTCTCTCCTCCTTTCCCTTTTCTCTCCTCCCAACCGGTCCTCCACCTTTTAGGCCACATTTCCCTTTTACTGTCTCTGGTTATTCTCCTGTTGTCCTTTTCCTTTGGAAAGGCTCTAAAGAGTTTAAGAAGTGATATACCTAGTGTCTCTAGATGACAGGGGTTGTAGGGACCACAGAAAGTTAGGACCGTAGTGTTGCAAATTATGACAAACCCTGTTGGATGATGTGGTGTTCACATGTAATCCCAGCACTCAGAAGATAAAGGCAAGGAAGATCTTGAGTTCAAGTTCAGCCTGAGCTAGCTAGTGAGTGAGACTTTGTCTTAACCTTTGTTCTTGTCTCAAAAAAAAAAAAAAACAAAAACAAAAACAAAGGCTGGGATGCAGATCAGTGATAGAGTGCTTGGTGAGGAGTGGGGGGAGACAAACTGTAAAATGTCAAGGCCAAGAGATTTGGACTTAATCATTTAACTTGAGTCACTTGACCCTTGACTGGGTCAGGAAGAAGTTAATTTTTGGGATATTCTTCCAAGATAAATTAGGCATATTCCTTCACCCTCAGCATCCTAGATTTATTCTAGTCCCACATCAATTCATTTTTATTGTCACTGTTAACCTCCCTTCCTCTCAAACGCAACGTGACCTAGCTCTTACCATATAAATGAATAATAGTATTGGTAAATAGATTAATATACTGGATATAATAATGGAGAGGTTGTTTGAAAACAGCTTGGCAGGAGATAATGAAAACATAAAAAATTGAAGAGAAAGAAGAGAATAGAATGTATTTGATGAATACTTAGGAAGACTGGAAATACAGTCCTTAGTTCTTTGTCTATGGGAGAAGGAATAGACCAAGATAATTCCCAGAGTTCAGTTTCGATGCCTGTGGTATATTAGTTAGAAATGTCTAGCAGGAAGCTTGGTATCAGTGCAAAGTATGAGGTTCTAAAAAGATCTGAGCTAGAAATACAGACTTAGAAGTCAGCAGCATAGGGGCTGGGAAGGTGGCTCAGTGGTAGAGCGCTTGCCTTGCATGCCTGAGGCCCTGGGTTCGATTCCTCAGCACCATATAAGCAAAAAGAAAAAAGCCAGAAGTGGCGCTGTGGCTCAAAGGGTAGAGTGCTAGCCTTGAGCTGAAGAGCTGAGGGACAGCGCCCAGGCCCAGAGTTCAGGCCCCACGACCGGACCCAAAAAAAAAAAAAAAGCAGCACATAACTGAAAGTAACTGGAGCTTTGAACATAGATGGGATCAGCAAGGGAGGGTATATGTAGTTCCTAGACAAAAATCAAACTGTACATAAGGTCCTGCCTTATTTACTGTAACATTCGCTCACACTCAGAAGTCAACCCCAGCTTGGACCTGATATTCCCAGTCTCTGGAACTTCATAGTCTGGCTTTCAAGGTCTGAAGTCATGCTCAGAACCCCAGCACTTGGGACTGGGCAGGCAACTATGTTTAAGCTGCCTCCTGGGACACAGTCCTCTGCTTCCATCTACTGATCGGATTCTACTTCAGCCTTTTAATTTTATGTTCTATTGCTCCAACAACCCACTGCCACATGCCACATGAGTATGAGCACATAAGCAACTCTCCTGGCATCACTCCCAAAGATTCAGAACCTTTCTTGCTTCCCTCTTTTGTCTCAAGTGCACTAAACAATTTATTCTAATCCTGTAACCCCCTGTCAATCCTGGGCTCTGCAATGATTTGCAGATCCTCCGATCTCAATCTAATGAAGCCTATACCCTATTTTACCACTAGATGGAAGCAACCAAGGTCCCAGAAGAACCTCATACCATCATGGGTGCAAATGAACACCCCTCTTCGAAGGATCCCTCTACTGAAGACTTACAGCCGCTCTCTACCTCTGAACTTCCCTCGGTGCCTTCCATTCCTCAGACAACTTCAGAAGAACCCCAGGCCTCTGAAGTCCTTTTGACACCATCTTCCCAGACTCGTTTCAGGAATTTTGTCTCTGAGAGTTCCTTGGAACCTTCTGTCTTTGAAACTCCTTCAGACCCTCCCATGTCTGAGTTCCCATCTGTTTCCCAGGTCTTCTCAGAGCCGTATGGTCATGAATTTCCTTTAGTGCAAACCTCTTCCAAGACCCTGGTAACATCCCGGGCCTCTAAAAGCTTTTTGAAGCCCTCTATCTCGGATACTCCTTTGGTGCCATACACTTTCAAGTTCCCTATAGAGCCACATGCTTCTGACTCACCTTTGGTGACAACTACTTCGCAGACAGCGTTAACATCCCAAACCTCTCAAAACTTTTTGAAATCCTTCCTCTCTGATACCACTGTAGATCCAAGGTCTGCCTCTGAGCTCTCTTTGGAGGCTCCTACCTCTGAGACTCACACCTCTAGGGTCCCCCAAAAGCACCCACCTTCTCAGTCCACATCACCAGGCAGTGTCTCTGTGTTTTCTGTTGGTGCCTGGAAGAAAGACTTCTTTCCTGAGATTCCTTCCAGTGAAGTCCCACAAACTAGGAGGTCCAGCTGGACCTCTGAATTTGAGCTCCTTACAAAGGACTCCATTTCAGAACTTTCAGCTGAGGTGCACACAGACTTAGCTTCAATGCGCACAGACATAGCTTCAACGCAAAAGGAAGAGGCAAGCCCAAACGAGCAGAGTGTGGATACTAGTGACATAATTTCTTATTCATCACTGCCTGAACTCCAACTAGACAAGAAGAAGGAGAAGAAAGGAACTAACAGTAATTACTACCTTTTCCCTTATTTTCTTTGTCCTTGCCTTGTCCTACAAGGAGAGGCCTGTGTTGCTCTTGGACATGGCTCCTCCTCTTAGTTTTAGGGTCTCCTCATTTCCCCCTGGTTACTCAGCCCCTCCCTTCCCAGGTTATACAAGCCTTCCAGTAATCCCTACTAATCAAGAAGAGCTTATGGATATGGTTAAGACAAGTGAGCAGTTTGGTGCTCCATTGAACCATCTTTTCCAATGGGAGAAGAGTGAAGCTTTGAATTCCATTCAGACAGGTGAGCCCACATGGCCTTTCAGAGGCCTGTAGCAGGCTCATGGATATCTTCCAGTCCAACAGGACTCAGGAACCTGTCCCTTCAATAGAGAGCTTCCCATTAGGAAAATTACCAAGCCATTTATCTAGAATCTAGAAGGGGAGCAGGCAGTCAGACCAAGAAATATCAGGATGGGACTGGGGGAAAAACAAGTAGGGACATTCACATAAAATCCAGGTATACAAATATAACTACACTAAAATTGCTTTAAAAATAAAAATAAAAGCAAAAGGGTCAACCTCAGATCTAGGACCCCAGAGGACTGACAGAAAACAGATATGTCTAAAGCAGATATGACCTAGAACCTAGAAATTCTCTAGGAGTTTTGGTCTGAGTTTTGGTAGAATTTCTCTCAAGGCTAGCACTCTACCACCTCCACTTCTAGATTTTAGCAGATTAATTGGAAATAAGATATGTCTGCCTGGGCTGTTTTAGAACTCAGCCTCCTGAGTAGCTAGGATTATAGACAGGAGCCATCAGTGTAAGGTTCCATTAAAACCAAACACATACCATGCTATATTGGAGAATCCATTATTGGATTTCTTCAGATTACTAACCTCAGTAAGAAGGCCACCCTGACTTGTGACCAATTCTGGGAAATCTTAGATTGAGTTCAGTAGACATTGTTACATTAATTTGGTCTTTCATACTTCTTTTCTTTTTATGACAAAAATACAACTATGTCAAAAAATCCTAAAATATAAAAGCAACTTATCATTCCTCTGTGTAATTTACTTTCCCCATTTCTTCCTTTCTCTACCACATGCCAAGAAAGTCTGATTTTGTTTCATAATTTTGAGTCTAATTTTTTTTTTTATTGCTAGTCCCTGGGGCTTGAACTCTGGACCTGGACACTATCCCTGAGCTCCTTTTGCTCAGGTTAGCACTCTAGCACTTGAGCCACAGCACTACTTCCAGCTTTTTCTGTGATTAAGAGTCTCACAGACTTTCCTGCCTGGACTAACTTCATACTGTAATTCTCAGGTCTCAGCTTCCTGAGTAGTTAGGATTACAGGCAGAGAATAAAGGCAATTTTTGGAAGAGATAACATTTCAGTTGAGTCTGAGTCCCTAACCCATGGGGACTCAGAAAGTTTTTTGGCTAGAAGTTGGGATACTTTCTGTTCTCATGGAGAATAGGAAAATCTGAGTGGGATCTACTGTCTGGTTTTCTTGCCATGTTTACATAGCATACCCTTTCCTCCAGGGGAGAATGGGCATGATGGCAGACAGCGTTAGCCCCCATAGCAGAATCCAGGCTCTAGAGGATTGTAGTTTCCTGATAGTGCCTGGGCTCAGGAATACTTACCTCACTTATCTGCCTGTGCTTCTTTCTATGCTTAGTAACTTAAATTTTTGGCCTGCCCCTTTCCTTCTACCCTTTGGAGCATTGCAGGCAGCCTTTTTCAGGGCATTCGTTCGGAAGCACTAGAAACACAGAAGGGATATACAGGTGTGAACATGAAGTAAGGCAAAGAATTCCTCCTACTTCTTGGCACCAGTAATACCCAACATCTTCCTCCTCTTCCAGAGTTCTTCACTAATTATTCTCTTAGGCAGAGTCCTATCTCTACTACATACCTGGCCACTCAGCTTCCCACTTCCTTTCCATAGAGACACCTCAAGAAAAGTTGGGTTCTAATGAAGAGAGAGGAGAATATGAGAAACCTCATAGTCAGAACTCAGTGATATTCATGTTCATCTTCAAACAAGATTTCACCTATAATCTTTCTGCTTAGAAACTAAAAAATACCTTCAGTCATCTCTGACTGGCTGACAGAGAATGGATTCTGGAATTGAAAGGGAACTGCAAACACATAAGAATTGAGGAGCCAGGCATCAGGGGCTCATGCCTATTACCCTAGCTATACAGGAGGCTGAGATCTGAGGATTGTGTTTTGAAACCAGCCTGAGCAGGAAAATACATGAAACTCTTATCTCCATTTAACCAGTAGAAATCCAGAAGTGGAACTGTGACACAAGTGGTAGAACATAAACTTTGAACAAAAAAAGTCCAGGGACAGTGCCTAGGGCCTGAGATCAGGCCCCAGAACTGGTACAAAAAAAAAAGAAGGGAGGGAGGGAACGAGGAAAGGAGGGAGGGAGAGAAAAAATAAAGGAAGGAGGGAAGGGGGGGGAAGAGAGAGAGAGAGAATACAGGACAAAAAAGTATAAGGGATAAGACTAAGGACTCCGAGGTAGAGACAGCTATCCCAAGTATAGAGGTGTGTCCCTCACCCCAAAGGAGAGGTCAGAACTTCTGGAAGGGAACTTAAGATCCTTCTCTTTGTCACTTTTCCCTGTTACCCAATCCCTCTGTCCCGAGGAATCTACGTTGGCTGGCGCTGCCCCCACTACCTATGGGACTGTTTCAGGATTTGTGAAGAGTCTAAGTGCTTTTGTGGGCACCTGTTGAAAGAACACCAGATCACCACAGGTAGATGATAAAAGACCAGCTTCCAGTGTAGAGGGACAACTCTACAAGCTCATATGTGGGTACAGGAGTAGGGATGGGAGGTGGAATGTGTGTGTTTGTGTTGGTATGAGAGAGGGGTGGCATAGGAAGGTAGGTCCCTACCAGGTGCTGGTCTAATTCTACCACTCATCCCCACTTCCATAGACATGATTGTGCCTTGCTCTGAGAGCCAATGCCGCTGTCTCATGTTTTGCTTCATCCCATCACGCCCAGAAGAGGTGGGTGAATTCTGGCTCAAAAGACGGGCTACCTTTGACCCCAAAGCCTGGAGAGCCCAATGTCGTTGTAAACATAGCCATGAAGAGCATGCAGCCACTGGGGCCCATCCCTGCAAATCTCGTGGTAATTTCTAGTGAAAGGAGAGTGTTGGGATGGAAGAGGATGGGGAGCACTTGGGTGTGTGGTGGGGAAGGAAAGAGGAGAATGGTGGTAGCCGATGTGGAATCTCTAGACTCTCCTTAGCTGCACTTTTGTCTCAGGATGTGGCTGCAAAAGTTTTGAATCTAATTTCCTGTGTGCGGCCTGTGACCGGCGCTGGGAAGAACATGAGACTTTCTTTGAAATTCAGGGGATGAAGCGACGGAAAAAAAAGGCTCGCGGTGAGAGAACAACATGAGACAGGGACTACCTCACAATCCAGTCAGAAGGCCAGGCAGAAGGCATGCTAACCTGTCCTTTCCAATCTCTTACATCCTCTCCAGCCCACACCTCATGCCTGTAGTGGTGTTTATTCCTTGAAACAAATGTTACACCTTTTAGACAGATGCTTGTCCTCCATGAAGTCATCCCCAGAAACTCTGACTTTGAAGCCTTTCAGATGCAAAGGGCTTTCTGCTCATCCCACTTCCCACTTTGCTGTTCATGTGCTCCCTCACTCCTGTAGCTTCTGCCTGGCCCCACATCTAACCCCATTCCTAATCCTTTCACCTCTTTTCTTCCCTCCTTCAGGGTCACATTGCAGCAACAGCTGGCACAGGGCTTTCTGAGGCTGCCTCAGATCAGGAATCATGTGGAAGCCACTGACTCTGAATGAGTCAAAGAGAGCCAAGACTCACCCATAAGACTTCATAGTCTGCATTTATTGAAAACAAGACGCAGCACCAACCAGAATAAATGCTGAACCCAAACATCTGCTTGCATCATGGCCACATTCATGCTGCTGGCTCTGATATCAGAAGAGTAGCTTCAAGAAAGCCAAGGAGGAGGGGCTGGGAAGGTGGCTCAGTGGTAGAGCGCTTGCCTTGCATGCCTGAGGCCCTGGGTTCGATTCCTCAGCACCACATAAGCAAAAAGAAAAAAGCCGGAAGTGGCGTTGTGGCTCAAGTGGTAGAGTGCTAGCCTTGAGCTGAAGAGCTGAGGGACAGCGCCCAGGCCCAGAGTTCATTCCCCACAACCGGACCAAAAAGAAAGCCAAGGAGGAGCAGGGCACAGTGACACAACACTCTTGTAATCCGAACACTTGGGAGGATGAGAGGATTGTGAGTTCAAAGCCAGCCTTGGCTACATAGCAAGTTCCAGGCCAGCCTAAATTATACAATGAAACACTTTCTTAAATAAGAGAAAGCCAAAGAGGGAGGGTGTTTTAAGAAGGATAGAGTAGTAAGCAATTAGGTCAAATGTAACTCATCCTCTAGCAAGATAAAGACCTAAAGTCTTCAGAATTTTTCAATTAGAATGTCTTTAGGAACTGGGTGCCATGTCTGTTTTACTAGCTACTTAGGAGACAAGAGAGATCAGGAGGATCACAATTTGAGGCTATCCCAGGCAAAATATTCACAAAACCCTATCTCAATGAATAGCTAGGTGCAATGATTCATACCTGTCATCCTAGCTGCATGGGAAGTTGAGATTGGGAGGATCACAGTTCTAAGCCAGCCTGAGCAAAACCATTCACAAGACATTTTAAAAGGGCAAAGCACAACCAAGCTGAGTGTGGTGGAATGCACACTTCTCATCCTAACTACAGAACAAAGCATAAATAGGAGGATCACCATCCAGGCTAACCTAAGCAAAAAGCAAACCAGAGAAAAAAGGGCTGGTTCAAGTGATAAAGTGCCTGCCTACAAGCACAAACTTCTGAGTTCAAACCCTAGCACCAAAAAAATTCTTTGAGGAGTTCAATGAGTACCACTTCACACTGGTACAGCAGAGGTAGAAGCCAACCCTAGTGAGAGGGAATCTCTTCAAGAAACTTGGGTGAAAAGTAAAAGAAAGAAATCAGATAATATGGCTGGGAAGGTGGCTCAGTGGTAGAGCGCTTGCCTTGCATGCATGAGGCCCTGGGTTCAATTCCTCAGCACCACATAAGCAAAAAGAAAACAGCAGGAAGTGGCACTGTGGCTCAAGTGGTAGAGTGCTAGCCTTGAGCTGAAGAGCTGAGGGACAGCGTTCAGGCCCAGAGTTCAGGCCTCACGACCACACCCCCCCCCAAAAAAAAAGAAATCAGATAATATCCAGAGGGTAGAAAGGAGAGCCTTAACACTGATGGGCTATGTGACTCTAGGGAAGAACTTTCTCTCTTTGGGCCTCAGTTATGGGATGTATAAAATAGATAACCCATGCTTCCTGCTCTGTATGGGAACCCAAGAAATCACCAGTTGACTACATTAATCCTCCAGGCTGGTTTCCTTCCACTTCTTGATTCCAGCTCCACTGTCTTTTGTCCTCCAGAGCAGCATTAAGGTCTTCTAGTGTCCCAAACAGAGAACTGTAACCTCTAGGACATGAAGAAGAAGCTGTCCTATATTTTCTCGCACTTAGGGTGCGAGAAGGTAAGAGAAGGTAAGTAATCAGGACTTCCAGGATCCTTGGGAAAAAAATCACAGGATCAAGTGTCTGCCCTTTAAAGGATTAAAAAAAAACCCCAGTAATATAGCTATATAAAGAGATTACACTAATTCTAGTTATTACACTAATTCTGGTTATAGGCACTATGATAATCATCCACATAAACTAGTCACAGCAGAAGTTACTATGATAAAATAGTATACTGCCATTACAAACTGGAGTTGTGGGAGAATAAATATTCTACACATAGTTCTATACATTATGAAAGGAAATGAAACAAATACCAAATGTTATTCAATAATTACAGAGCACCTATATGTCAGGGAAAAAGGAGGAGGAGGGAAGCGGCGCTGTTGAGCTGAAGAGCGGAGGGACAGCACTCAAGCCCAGAGTTCAAGCCCCACAACCGACCAAAAAAAAAAAAAAGAAGGAGGAGGAAGGAGGGGGGAAGAAGACAATGTTGAAGGAGGAGGAGATACAGTGGTAATATTCTTTGTGTTAAAGATCAGACTAAAACCTGGTATCTGAGACTTTTGTCTAGCCAGGAGTTAGTGGCTCACGCCCGTAATCCTAGCTACTCAGGAGACTGAGATGTGAGGATTGAAGTTCGAAGCCAGTCCAGGCAGGAAAGTCCATGAGACTCTTAATCTCCAATTAACTACCAGAAAACAGTAAGTGGTGCCGTGGCTCAATTGATAGAGTGCTTGCCTTGAGCTGAAGAGCTCAGGGACAGTGCTCAGACCCAGAGTTTCAAGCCCCACAACCGACAGATGTATACCAGCAAAGTGCCAGACACTGAGTAGTAACCTTTTCTGATTAGAAGAGAACATGGGATACATACTCCTTTACTTATTCGGAAAGCAGCAAACATAGGGTGCTTCCATCATACACTTAAAACAACAACAAAACATTGCCCTGAAAACATATTCTATTAAGTGAACATTTTTGTGTGTTTTTTATTGTGAAAATACTGTACAGAAGAGTTACAATTACATGGGCAAGATAATGAGTACATTTCTTATCAAGCATTGTAGCCTCCTCCTTTGTTTCCCTTTCCCATCCTTTCCCATTCTCCTCCCCCTCCCCCCCTACCCCCACCTAAAGTGAACATATTAAAGAGAAAAGGAGGAATTGCCCTTTAACATCTTTGAAATGGTCAAAAGACCATTGTCTCTGGGAAGAGGTGGGAAGAGAAAGGGTTCGTTGCAGACCCCCCTATTTTAGACCCCAAGCCTGGCCCTGGTGTCTCACAGCTGTAACCCTACCCAGGAAGCTGAGATCTAGAGAATCGAGGTTTCCCCAGGTTTGCCAGCCTGGGGCAAAAGCAAAGCAAAACAATAAAAAATCGAGATATTCCATCACTAGAAGAACAGGGCTAGAGACTTGGCTCAGAGTTAAGGCCTAACACAACGAAGCAAAAGGGGCCCCTGAGTTCAAACCCCAGATAACAACCCACCACCACCAAAAAAAAAAACTTCCCAGCTCATAGCCTCATCCAGGTGGTTTCTGGAGCCAATAAGTGCCCAGCGCCCTCAGAAACCCTCCCACCGCAAGTGGAAGTGTCTAAACTACATTTAGCCCTCTGGGCAGCAGGTGACGCAACCCCGTCCCCTTCCTTCTTCCAGCCGATTGCGGGAACCCAGGAAAGGAGGCTCAGCCTAGAACCTGGGAGCCCCACCCACGGGGTGGACCCTAGCCAATTAAGAGAAAAGGCTCATCTCCAGCTTTAATATAATGGCGTGGATAGAAAGGGGATCTGGAGGAAAGAGAACCGCAGGCTGCCTGGATCCCAGAGCAAATGAAAAGGGACGTTAGTCCTGCGTGGGCCGGGACAGCCAATGAGAGTAATACGCCCGCCTCCTAGGGGGCGGTGAGAGCAGTGAGAGAATGGCACCCCTGCGGCCCCCGGGACAGGCTGCCAGGCCCCGCCCCCTGCCGCGGCCGAACCAGTGGCCACCGCGTTCCCTCCGGGGGGCGGGGCGACAGAGGTCTCAGCGCTGCCTTGGAGAGCTGTGCCCGCACCTCCGTGAAGATGGCTGCAGCCGTGTTGTTGGCTGCAGGTTTGCACGCGGCGCGCAGAGCCGTGACGGCTGCGGGGCCCCGGGGGACGCAGGTGAGAAGAGGCCACGGGAGTGAGGAAAGGGTCCCGAGGCTCTGATGCACTCGGAGGCCCAGGGCCGCGCTCTCCGTGGCTGGCGAAGGCGCGTGCCGCCCAGCAGCTTCGCAGAGCCGCCCCTCCTTCCGAGGTCCCAGCTCCGGGGCTGCGGTGATCCCGTACAGAGGTGATATCGGATTGGTGGTGGTGGGAGAAAAAAAACTAGCGATGACCTCCGCCTTACACACGGCCCAGGCGCCGAGCTTGACCCTGGATCAGAGCAAGGACTGCTGCTTGGGTCTGCCTGAAGGTTTGCTGGCCCGGTGCCTGTTCCGGGCAGCTTCCTCAGTGCCCTCTGCGGTGTTCCGGGCAGCTTCCTCAGTGCCCTCTGCGGGAAGTAGGCGTGCTCTTCTCCATCCAATCTTCAGCCTCCCCGCCTCCTGCCGGGACCACCCCACCCCCCTACCCCCTGGCCTTCCAGTGAACATTAATCTTTTATTTGCACTTTCCAGAAGCGACTCCGAGATTCAGAGGACTTTAATTCATCCTGTCCTCACTCACTTAATGTCTGATGCCTTGATCTCAACCTTCCACGAGCAGTTGTGAACCTGGACATCCCTACCTCGACCTAGGGATGCTGAGTTCGCTTAGTTGAACTCTTACATAACACTGATTCGAGTTATTGGAATTAAGTATCAGTAAGAGGCCAGACAAGACATTCAGAGGAAGCCGGGCGCTGGTGGCTCACGCCTGTAATCCTAGCTACTCAGGAGGCTGAGATCTGAGGATCGCGGTTCAAAGCCAGCCCGGGCGGGAGAGACCGGGAGACTCCTATCTCCAATAAAAACCACCAGAAAACCGGAAGTGGCGCTGTAGCTCAAGTGGTAGAGCACTCGCCTAGAGCTGAAGAGCTGAGGGACAGCGCCCAGGCCCAGAGTTCAAGCCCCACGACCGACCCCCCAAAAAAAAAAAAGACATTCAGAGGAGGGGCAAATGTCTTAAAACTTAAATAAAACGGTTAGCCAGTCTTGAAGATCAGAAAACAGATCATGGAAATAGGTGAGATTTAACCAAAAGAACTTGCAGTACTCCTAAGATGATGCAAACCACTCTTTTATATTTGAAGGCAACAGAAAGGATTTATCTTTGGTAATTCAGCAGTGGCATAGGAACTGAGACTTCAGTCTTGAGACTTCTCCCATAATGCATCTCCCCCCAACACTACAAGATTTTATAGGCACATTAGCAGGAATCAATTGCATTATTGTATCCTGCATAGAAATATTTATTGTCTATTACCTAACCAGGCCCAGCACCATCTGGTCTACTCCTTATTGGAGATGGCTCTAAAGTTAAGGAACTATTCCCTAGGGTGAAAACTAATAGTTTCTCCTCCCCTCACTCCTTTTGTGGTAGTTCTAAGCTTTGAGTTCAGTGCCTTGTGCAAACACTCTACTATTTGAGTCACACTCCCAGCTCTTTTCTGGTTTTTGGTCATTTCTTAGGTAGGGTCTGGAGCTTTTTTGCCCAGCCAGGCCTCAAACCCAGAATGTCCCATGTAGCTAGAAGTCCAGGCATGAACCCCTGCACACAGTAATAGGTTTGTAGATGACGTTAATTTTTTTTTTTTGGTCAAGGGGCTTGAACTCTAAACCTGGGCCCTGTCCCTGACCTCTTCAGCTCAAGGCTAGTGCTCTACCACTTGAGCCACAGTGCCACTTCCGGTTGTCTGAGTGGTTTATTGGGGAGGTCAGAGCCTCACAGACTTTCCTGCCTGGGCTGGCTTTGAACCGTGATCCTCAGATCCAGCCTTCTGAGTAGGTAGGATTTCAGGCATGAGCCACCAGTGCCGCACTGAAGTTAATAATTATTAGAGCACAGCAATTGCCAGTCCCATATGAGGACATGAGAAAAGTATTGCTGACTCCCTCCACTAGGTGTGTCTGACTCACCTTTAGGTCCAGGGTGCTGCAAGTTTGACTAATGGGAATGAAGTGGCCAAGGCCCAGAAGGCAGCTCCTGGAGGAGCAGCACCAACCATCTTCTCCCGGATTCTGGACCGAAGCCTCCCAGCTGACATTCTATATGAGGACCCACAGGTGGGATCCCCATAGGGCCCATTACCCTTAGGAGTTTTATAGATAACATCTGGCTTGATGAAGTAACGAGATGGTCTTTGGCCTGTCCCTGCTCCCAGTGTCTCGTATTCCGTGATGTGGCCCCTCAGGCTCCTGTGCATTTCCTGGTGATTCCTAAGAAGCCTATTCCTCGGATTAGTCAGGCTGAAGAAGAAGACCAGCAGGTGAACAGGGTCAGGGATTGTCTGGGAGGATCCCTAGACTAAGCTAGAAGTTTTGCTCCCTGTCAATGGAGCCATCTATGTCTCTCCCCTCTGCGTATAGCTTCTAGGGCATCTACTCCTTGTGGCCAAAAAGATAGCACAGATTGAGGGCCTGCAAGATGGATACCGACTTGGTGAGTGACTCTTGACCCTTTGTTCTTCACCTATGACTTCCTACTACTCAGTATTCTCTTCCTTCCTTAACTTTGCCCATGATCCTGACTTCTTAACCTCTAATTCTATTTCAGTGATCAATGATGGAAAGCTGGGTGCACAGTCTGTATATCACCTACACATTCACGTACTTGGAGGCCGACAGCTCCAGTGGCCTCCAGGTTAAACCTGCCAACTGACAAAGGACCCCAGATGTTTGGATGGGGAAGGGAAAAGGGAACCCTGTAATGATGATAATAAATCCAGTGTATCTCAATTTTGCACATTTGTCTTAAATATATAGATTTATTCCACAAAGGGGAAGAAAATGAATTCAGAGCTGCAATTAACTTTGATTGTGATCAGAGTAAGACATTGGAGCTCAGGGGTCAAAGGAGCACTTACTTGTAGATCTGCCTCATGTCTAGTTGCCTGACCTGGATCAAACTTCTAGAATAGTAACTGGAGGTGTGGCTCAAGTGATAGAGTGCTAGGAGAGTAGTAATAGAAATGGGCCTGAATGTGTAGGAACAGACAAACCCATGTGTACTGCTTTCTCAATCTTATCTACATTTAGAGGCCAAGTCAGGTTCTAAAGGGGCTTGAGAAGAGAGTGTCAACATAAGGGCCTTTAATTATCCGAGAAGTAATCACATAACACAAAGACTCCCAACTTTTTTTTTAAAGACATACCAGCTTTGAGAATGAACTAAACTAAGGAAAAGCTACTGTTGCCCCTCCACAAACATATACAAGAAGGCCTTTGATGCCAGTCCGACGCCCATTAAAAAAAAAAAAAAATCACCTTGCCACAGACTCTTGTTTGGGGATGGAGGGCTAGTTCTCAGGCCCCGGAACCGTAAGACTCCACCGGAGGCAGAACAGAGTCGGAACAGAAAGCGGGGCTCCCCAGCGCGAACCTAGCTTAAGGCTTCGGCCCGGCGGAAAAATCCCATTGCAACTTCCGCCCAGCTCTAGTTCCGCGCACTCTCCTGGCGTTGTTTGCCGTCTCTATGGCAACCCGGTAGTTGAAGTTTGACTATGGAGGCGAAGGAGTCTTCTACACTGTCTCCGTGAGAACCCCAGGCTTCGGGGGACAGGGAAGGGCAGCGTACTTCCTTTGCTGTGTTTTGACAGCCTTGATTCCTTCGTTTTCTTTCAGATCTTTAGAGGTACACCCCAGCTCCGATGGGCTGGGGACTACTTCAGAACCGGTTTCTTCAGATGTCAGTCCTAGGTCTGTCCTGGCAGCCAAAACGGCAGCAACTGCCGCTGCGGCTGCACATTTTACAACCTCGTCTACAGCCTCGTCTACCGCCAGAGCACCTGTGTTATGTGCACAGCCCCCAGCTGAGTCCGCAGAGCCCTCCTCTGACAGTCCTGAGTCGGCCTACAATGCACCCTACCAGATGGGACATGGGAATCTTGGCTTTCCACCCACTTATATTGCCTGCATTGTTCAGGATCCCTGTACTACAACTGACGTTAGCTCCAGCCTTGGCCTTGTAACTACGTCAAGCTCTGGTCCTGGACCCTGTGTTCCTGAAGCTACTCCTTGTTATGGCACTGTTCCTGTCTCTGGCCCTATCTGTGGCCCTGCTCTTGGCTCTAGCTCTGGCTCTCCTCCTGGCCCTAGCTCTGGCTCTCCTCCTGGCCCTAGCTCTGGCTCTGCTCCTGGCCCTAGCTCTGGCTCTGCTCCTGGCCCTAGCTCTGGCTCTCCTCCTGGCCCTAGCTCTGGCTCTGCTCCTTGGCCTACCTCTGACTCTGCTCCTGGCCCCAGTTCTGGCTCTGCTCCTGGCCTCAGCTCTGGTTCTGCTCCTGGCCTCAGCTCTGGTTCTGCTCCTGGCCTCAGCTCTGGCTCTGCTCCTGGCCTCAGCTCTGGCTCTGCTCCTGGCCTCAGCTCTGGCTCTGCTCCTGGCCTCAGCTCTGGCTCTGCTCCTGGCCTCAGCTCTGGCTCTGCTCCTGGCCTCAGCTCTGGTTCTGCTCCTGGCCTCAGCTCTGGTTCTGCTCCTGGCCCCAGCTCTAGCTCTGCTCCAGGCCCCAGCTCTGGCTCTGCTCCTGGCCCTAGCTCTGGCTCTGCTCCTGGCCCTAGCTCTGGCTCTGCTCCTGAATCTGGCTCTGGTCCAGGTCTTACCCCTGGAGCAGATGCAGAACCCGGCCCTGCCCCTGAGCCCGGATCCTGCCCTTCTGAAAAGCTCATCCACCTGGAGGTAGATATTCCTCCTATGTGTACCACCTGGGTCCAACAATACTACGAGCGACCTCAGAAACAACCACTCTGGGAATCTTTGCAAGTTTCAGAACCTGGAGTGAGAGGGCCACAGGATCCCAGGCATGTGAAAGGGAAGTCTACGCTTCTCCATAAAACACTGCCAAGGGGCAGGTGTCTTCTTTACAACTGGGAGGAAGAGGTATTACCATTGTGGCCTGCTTCCTTTCTTGAAGGGTAACTCTTAAATTTCCTAGAGGAGCTAATTGTGATGAGGGTGGGTACCAGAAGGAAATTAAGAGTCACTTGGCTTGGGGTCCACAGAGAGCCACCGATCACCTGGATCAAGTCCCATGCTCCCAGGATGGCTCTGAGAGCTTCTTCTTCCGACATGGACACCAGGGACTTCTGACCATGCATCTACAATCACCCATGTCCTCCAGCACCACCCAGAGGGACTCATACCAGCCCCCAGGAGAACCATGCCAGCCACTTCGAGGTGTGACACTTCAGAGGGTCAGAATGAATCCATTAGGCATAGAAAAAAAGGAATTTTTCATGGGTTTGTGGATTGTTTGATAGCTATAAGAGCAAAACCCCAAGATACTACTTCCTTTTCCCAACTTTGTTTCTTCTCGGCCTGCTGCTTAATCAGACTTCCACTCTGCCCTCCCACAGGGAATCGTGCAGCCATGCTGGAGATGTACTTGTACCACCAAATCTGGTGAGAAACTGGGAAAGGGAATGGGAGGGGAAGGAGGAAAACCGTGGAGATGGTCTTGACATCTCTAGGGCTGCACAGTAATGAGCTTGAGGCAGAACAGGAACCCAAGAGGAAGCTCTTTGAGGTCGAGTCAGTAACACGCCATGACTATGGAGTGAAGCTTGTCCCAGCAAGGCCTCCTGCCCCAACAAAGGTGAGAACCTATCCCACCCCACTTTCACAGCTATGCTCTGACAGTCATTAGAGAAACAGCAGACCCAGAAGTTGAGAGAAAGAGCTGAAGGCCAGGAGTTATTCACTATCTCTTCTTCGCAGGCTCATGACTACTGCAAGGAGCAGCCTGAAACCTTCTGGTTACAGATGGCATCAAAGATTCCGGTATGTGAGGGTGACGAGATGTTGGGGGGTGAGAAGGTACAGGGAAGAGGCTGTTCCAGCTTGGTGGAGGGTGGGATCTTTCCTTATCCTGACACTCCTCCAGGGTGTCAGTAACATCAGGACAGTGGACACACCATTCTGGAAGAACTGCAGCTTCTCAACACCATTGCCGTTGTGTCTGGGAGATCCTTTGCCATGTGAACCTGAAAGTTATCCCCAGAAGTTGGGAACAGTGTCTTCCCTTGCCTGTCAGGGAAGCGAGTTGGAGTGTCAAAATAGGAAAACAACTCCTCCCTAAAGGTTGAAGAAGGAAATTAATATAGAATTTGGAATCTGTTTGTACTAAAGAGTTTGCTGGAGAAGCTGACTGTATACTTGGTGAAGGGATTTTACATAAAGGGTCCTCTCTCATCCTGAATATGCTAATTGACTGATTCTGTGAGTTACTATATCTATACCCAGTATTCTTTCCTCAGTTATTTCCACCCCACACGATGATACCATGTGTTGTTGTTGTTGTGTTGTTTTATACTTGGCCAAAATATTCTGGTCTACATACAGTTATTTACAGAAGGTAGAGAGGAAGGGGACCAAGCCAGAGAGGGGCTGGTATATGTACAAGGCTGAGCTACAGAGAGATACAATCTCCATATAAGGTGGAATTTTTGTGCACGTTTTCCATCCCATGTGACAAAGTCTGTTTCTGATATATGAAGAGATGATGGCCACTGCCCACCCAAGTACCAGCAGCAAGAAGTGGGAAGAAGTGGGATTTACAGGAGTCCAGGAGGTCCTTTCTGCTCTCCTAGGAGCCAATAAGTTCGCATCTTTCCTTTTCCCTGGAATTAAGGGAGTGGACACAGTTCAGGTTCTTCTCTATCCAGCCCATCATCTCCCTCTCTTACCCAGTGATCCCCATAATCACTTTCATCCTCCTTTTCCATGACCTCCTCCCCAAGGCCTGCCATTACCTTCATCTCCACATCCCCCCGAAGCTCTAGCTGGAAGCATCCTAACTCATCCAGAGCATCTTTGGTGGTAGAGGAGACGTGGATCTTCAGAGCTGGGGTGACATGGGAGACAGGAAGTAGAGTCAAGAAGTGACATTACTCAAGAGTACTTTCCTCAACCACCCACCTCTCAAGAGGCTCCCCATCCAGATACACATTCATAGGACAAAAATATGCCCAAGGATGGGACACGTAGGAACTGTAATCTCCCAGATTGAGACTTGGAGGAACTCTGAAGCAAGATAGATCCAAGCCCAGGTTGAAGGCTAATATCTCACCTTGACCATTAGACTCCATTCGAGAAGCAGTGTTCACAGTGTCTCCAAAAAGACAATAACGGGGCATCTTCAGACCAACAACACCTGCACAGACTGGTCCTATGAAAGGAAATAGGTTGGGAGAACCCAGGAAAGGTGGAGCCTATGGCTAAGTGAGAGTCAGCCTTACCTGTGTGAACACCTATACGAAGCCTCAGCTGGTCATGGGGTCGGTGGCGGATACGGAAAGAAGAGACTGCATCTAGCAATGCTAGGGCCATCCGAGCAATTTCTGGTGCATGACGTTGACCATTTCGCCCTGGGAGGCCAGAAACCACCATGTAGGCATCCCCAATTGTCTCCACCTGATTTAAAGGGAGGAGTGTTCAAAGGTCATCTCTAGCTGTATCCATAGGAATAAGAAAGAATACAGAGAAACAAGCTAGACTCCACCAGCAATTATACTGATAGCCATGTTCTAGGAATTTGAAATAAGGAGAAGTCAAGGGAATCTTTAAACACGTGCCCAATTCCTGTATTCAGTAAACACTTACTGAATGTGGGGATATCCTACCTGTTCACAGGACATGGACAAATAGGTTCTGCTGTCAGGAAATGAAAAGTAAGAAAACAGGCCAAACCAAGGGGCACAGAGGCTGGTGAGTAGGTAAAGCAAACCCAATGAAATGAGCCAGACAGCTCCAACTGTTAGAAGTGAGAAATCAAGAGCCGGGCGCTGGTGGCTCACGCCTGTAATCCTAGCTACTCAGGAGGCTGAGATCTGAGGATCGCGGTTCAAAGCCAGCCCGGGCAGGAGAGACCGTGAGACTCCTATCTCCAATAAACCACCAGAAAACCGGAAGTGGCGCTGTAGCTCAAGTGGTAGAGCGCTCGCCTTGAGCTGAAGAGCTGAGGGACAGCGCCCAGGCCCAGAGTTCAAGCCCCACGACCGACAAAAAAAAAAAAAAAAAATGTCAGGTGCTTGATTTCTCACTTCTTTTTTTTTTGTCAGTCGTGGGGCTTGAACTCTGGGCCTGGGCGCTGTCCCTCAGCTCTTCAGCTGAAGGCGAGCGCTCTACCACTTGAGCTACAGCGCCACTTCCGGTTTTCTGGTGGTATATTGGAGATAGGAGTCTCACGGTCTCTCCTGCCCGGGCTGGCTTTGAACCGCGATCCTCAGATCTCAGCCTCCTGAGTAGCTAGGATTACAGGCGTGAGCCACCAGCGCCTGGCACACCTGACATTTTTAACTATACCAAAACAATGTAAGAGAAAGGTCCTTGATTTTATGAAATACATGGCAAAATTTCTTTGGATATACACACCGTGTATTGGGGAGTAAAGGATAAAAATATGGGGCTGGGAAGGTGGCTCAGTGGTAGAGCGCTTGCCTTGCATGCTCAAGGCCCTGGGTTCAATTCCTCAGCACCACATAAGCAAAAAGAAATAAAGCCGGAAGTGGCACTATGGCTCAAGTGGTAGAGTGCTAGCCTTGAGCTGAAGAGCTGAGGGACAGCGCCCAGGCCCAGAGTTCAGGCCCCATGACCAGACCCAAAAAAAAAGGATAAAAATATATTCAAATGGCTTAGAAAACAGCCCAGACTAGCCTTGAATTTGCAATCCTCCAGCCCGAGCCTCTTGAGTGCTAGGATTACAGATGCAATGCCTTGCAGAAATTTGTTTAGTGTCTGCCATGTGCTACATACCATGTTAGATATTTTCCATATTAAAGAGAACTGAGGTTCAGGGCAACCCTGTTACCCATGACCACACAATTAGCTACAAAAACAGTATTCAAATTCAAGAACAATAAAGCTAGCCCTCTGCCAACTCAATGACATCAACAAAGAGATTTATGTTTTTCATATATTGCCCCACACCCCCACTAAATCAATCTGTATCTACATTCTTTGTGGTTCTTCCATGTCTAGAGGAGAATGAATTAAAATGGATAAGCTGTGTTTATACCCTCAAGGAGATGGGGGCTATTTGTGATGGTCTGATTAGGTACTCATAAGTAATTAGACATGGGTACAAGCACCCTGTTGAAGCTTCATCTAACCACAAAATACACCCCCAGCACTAGGATGCCAGAGGCCCTTGGGAAAATTGACCATGAAGTGAGTAAAGTACATAGATATCCAAGAGACTTGGTCTTAAAGGGGTCTCAGGAGGAAGGCTCTCACCTTGTAGACATCAAAGTTGTCAATTATGGCATCAAAGCAGGTATACAGGTCATTAAGAAGTGTCACCACCTAACAGAGGATAGGAAAGCAGAGGTCCTGAAATTTATGCTCAACCTTCTAAGAATTCTCAATCAATGGCTCAGAAAGATACAGGAACTCTAGAACAAACTAGCCTTTCCTTTGATCGATGCCCAGGTCCCAGGCCCACCCCGTGTCTCACCTGCATGGGAGTGCTCTCAGCTGACAGTGCTGTGAAGCCAACGATGTCACTGAAGTAGATGGTGACACTGTCGAAGGCCTCTGCTTGTACAGTCTCTCCCCGTTTTAACTGTTCTGCCACTGAACTAGGAAGCAAGAAGGCAGAGTGAACACAACTCTAAGAAAGAGGGTGGGAGGGAGAGGAAAACAGGTATAGCTACAGTAGAACAGAAGCTGTAATGGGAAAGTTGGGTCTGGTGAAGAAAAAAGAAATGGACTGAGAAACATTACTTAGCTTGAGGCAAGGTGCACAAGTGGTGGTAGACTGCAAAGGGATCTAGAGGTGGGAGCTAAGTGTCTCAAGTTGGAATTGTCTTACATACACTTGCTGAAGCAATAATGAGGTAGAGTGGTGTCCTAAGGAAGAAGGATGAAAAGCCAAAAAGAAGGGGAGCACAGCTCATTTGGGGAGAGAAAGAATTTAGCCTATAGCCAGGAAGGCTCACTGTGGCAAGAAGTAATAAAGCAGGGTCCCATGTTTGGAGATGAGTTCTCTGGAGGCTGATGAGACAGAACCCAACAGAGCTAGACCCTGGAGGAAAATTCAGAAAGTGGAAGGAAGGTCTCACTGGGGTAGAATTTGGTAGAGCAGTGCCTCAGCCTTGCGTTTTTCCTCTAGATAGGCCTGTGTGCGTTCTTCCACCAGCTTTTCCAGGTTATTGGCATACTGTTCCATGCGCAGCAAGAGGTTGTCCAGTATGCTGGTGCCACCCTCCCTGCAGAAAGGCCAGGATATGACACCTGTTTCAAGATTCTGGATACTCCCAGGACTTCTTATCCAGCCCTCCTGCCCCACCTTGTCCACTAAGAACAGTGTTGCCCTAGGTAGCCCTTTCCCCTCAGTGGCCTCTCACTTATTAAAGCGGCGGATGAAGCCCTTGATCTGTCCAAAGTCTGGCCGCTCAGCTGGGTCCTGGGCCCAACATCTCTCCATCAGCAAAACTAGCTCTTCATTCAATTGGGTGCGGTCAATGCTTGGCCGGAAATAAGGCCGCTGGCCATTTCGGACCTTCTGAACAATCTCTGAAGATAATAAAAAGGTTTGGATGAAGAAGAGGGTCCCCCAGGAAAAGTGGCTGTAGGTAGTAGATTGACTCTTACCTTTGGGGCTGAGGTCCAAACCCTCTAAGTAGAAAGGACCACTGCGAAGTGCTATCTCTTGTAGGATGATTCCAAAGCTATAGACATCAGCTTTCTGCATGCCTGTAGTTGGCAAGGGGTTCCCACTGAGCAGTTCTGGAGCAGTCCACAGCTTCTCTGAAAAGAGAGAACAGAGTTGGCCAAATTCCCAAAACAGAGTACCCCCAAAGCTCATACAGATTCAACTCCATATTACTACCGTACCTCCCTCTCCTACCCTCCCTGAGGGAAATGATCAAGGCTAGAGGAATACTATAAAAAGTAGGTTGTGGGGGCAAGCCTCACTGGCATAGAGGGCATGGCTGTCATCAGGTTCAGCAGTTGATCGGAAACTGGCCAGGCCATAGTCTGTGATTTTGAGCACAAAACGACTATCCACCACACAGTTGGAGGACTTGAGGCTTCCATGAGATGAAATAATGCTGTTGTGAAGAAAGGCCATGCCCTGTAGGATACAGATTAGCAATCCGTCATATCTGGATTATACCACCTACTCACCAGGAGATGGACTCAAATAAGTGGATTCATTGTAAGGATATTTTCCAAAACCACTTTTCCATTAGTCATTGTCC